CCTTGCTAGCGTGTGATATGAGTGCAATTGTGCGATAGTTTGAACATTCCTTGGCATTGCCCTTCTTTGGGATTGGAATGTATACTGATCTTTTCCAATCCTGTGGCCACTGTTGCGTTTTCCAAATTTGCTGGCAAATGGAGTGCAGAACTTTAACAGCATCATCTTCTAAGACTTTGAATAGCTCAGCTGGAATACCATCACCTCCACTAGCTTTGTTGTTAGTAATGCTTTCTAAGGCCCATTTAACTTCACATTCCAGGATGTCTGGCTCAAGGTCAGTGATTATACCGTCGTGTTTGTCAAGGACATTGAGGTCTTTCTTGTATAGTTCTTCTGTGTATTCTTGCCATCTTTTCCTAATCTCTTCTGCTTCTGTTAGGTCCCTACCGTTTTTGTCCTTTATCATGGCCAGCTTTGCATGGAACGCTCCCTTGATTTCTCCAATTTTCTTGAAGAGATCTCTAGTCCTTCCCATTCTATTGTTTTCTTCTATTACTTTGCACTGTTCATTCAGGAAGGCCTCCTTATCTCTCCTTGCTGTTCTCTGGAAATCTGCGTTCAGTTGGGTAAATCTTTCCTTTTCGCCTTTGCCTTTCGCTTTCCTTCTTTCCTCTGCTATTTGTAAAGCCTCATCAGAAAGCCATTTTGCTTTCTTGCATTTCTTTTTCTTTGGTATGGTGGTGATTGCTGCCTCCTGTACGATGTCACGAACCTCTGTCCATAGTTCTTCAGGCACTCTATCTATCAAATCCAGACCCTTGAATCTATTCTTCACCTCTACTGTATATTCATCAGGGATGCGATCTAGGTCAAACCTGAATGGCCTCGTGGTTTTCCCAATTTTCTTCAGTTTAAGTCTGAATTTTGCAATGAGTAGCTCATGATCTGAACCACAGTCAGCTCCAGGTCTTGTTTTTACTGACTGGATAGAGCTTCTCCATCTTTGACTGCAAATTATATAGTCAATCTGATTTCGGTGTTGCCCATCTGGTGATGTCCATGTGTAGAGTCGCCTCTTAGGTTGTTGGAAAAGGGTGTTCGCTATGACCAGTGTGTTCTCTTGACAAAACTCTGTTAACCTTTGCCCTGCTTCATTTTGCTTTCCAAGGCCAAACTTGTCTGTTATTCCGGTTACCTTTTGACTTCCTACTTTAGCATTCCAGTCCCCTATGATGATGAGGACATCATTTTTTGGTGTTAGTTCTATAAGGTGTTGTAGGTCTTCATAGAACCGGTCCACTTCAGCCTCTTCTGCATCAGTGGTTGGGGCATAGACTTGGATTACTGTGATGTTGAATGGTTTGCCTTGGAATCGGACAGAAATCATTCTGTCATTTTTGAGATTGTATCCCAGTACTGCCTTTTGCACTCTCTTGTTGACTATAAAGGCCACACCATTTTTTCTACGAGATTCCTGGCCACAGTAGTAGATATAATGGTCTTCTGAGTTAAATTCGCCCATTCCTGTCCACTTTAGTTCACTGATTCCTAGGATATCGATGTTCAGTCTTGCCATCTCATTTTTGACCACGTCAAGCTTACCTTGATTCATAGATCTTACATTCCAGGTTCCTATGTAGTATTGTTCTTTGCAGCATCGGACTTTCCTTTCACTATCAGACACATCCACAACTGAGCGTCCTTTCGGCTTTGGCCCAGCCGCTTCACTCTTTCTGGGGTTACTTGTACTTGCTCTCTGCTCTTCCTCAGTAGCATATTGGACACCTTCCGACCTGAGGGGCTCATCTTCCGGCGTCATATCTTTTAGCCTTTTGGTGCTTTCTATGGGGTTTTCTTGGCAAAAGTACTGGAGTGGGTTGCCATTTCCTTCTCCAGGGGGATCACTCTTGGTCTGAGTTCTCTGCTATGGCCTGTCCGTCTTGGGTGGCCCTTCACGGCATAGCCCACAGCTTCATTGAACTGCTCAAGCCCCCTCGCCACGACAAGGCAGTGATCCATGAGGGTACAATTTTACTAAATTGTATTTGATGTTTTATTATTGCAATATCTTTTGCTATGTAAGCCGCCCTGAGCCCTATGGGGGAGGGCGGGATATAAATTTAATAAATAAATAAATAAGTATTCAGGCTCAAATATGCTGCTAAGCTTCTAATGGATCCCAGGCAGCATACTTGAGCCTGAATACTTATTGAGATCAGAATCCTATCTAAATGCGTTATCTTTCCTGATTTTCTGTAAAGCATGGGAGCTTTTGTACTACTCTGTAGAATATTTCTTGAGAAAGATCCAATTTTGAAACGTTGTTATATAATCCGGAGACAATGTTTATATATTTTAACACAAGGATTTTCTTATGATCTGAAGGAATTTGTTCATTGTGTTGTGGTGCTTGTTGACAATAATATACAGAAAGCATTTTCTTTGCAAGTCTTGTTGACTGCTTGATTTGTGGGTCAGACTCTCACGACTGTTTTCTTTACATTTGTTCTTTGATCAGGTCGTCTGCATCAGAAGGCGTTCTGCAGCACAGTCCCACACAGTTATTCCAGGCTAAACCTAATGAAATCTATGAGCTTAAACAGGGTTATCTCTGTAAGGGATATGTATTGCTATTAAACAATCCCAGAGGTAACCATACATACAACTTTTCCTTTCCATGAGGTACATGGAACAAGTATTGAGGTAACCAATAGTTGTTAAGAAGGAATCTTTCAATTAGTACTTTTTAAAAAAATCAGGTTTAATGGGCAAGCACTACCATGGATATTATGGAGCTGCGGTGGCTCAAGTGGTTAAGATGCTGAACTGCAGGCTGTGGAAGGTCAGTAGTTCAGCAGTTCAAGACCCAGGTGCCGTGTGATGGAGTGAGCTCCCATCTCTAGTTCCAGCTCCTGCCAACCTAGCAGTTCAAAAGGAAGGAATTGCAAGTAGATAAATAGGTACCACTTCGGTGGGAAGGTAACAGCGTTCCGTGCGCCTTAGTGTTTAGACATGCGATTCGACTGGCTTTCGAGCAAGGGAACCTTTACCTTTACTTACCATGGATATTAGACCTGTGTCAGTAGCAACTAGGTCCCCAATAGCTAAAAACAGTTTTCTATTAATCAGCCTATAAATGTGCAAGTAACTAGTAAGGCCATGCCTATGATTTACAAGTATAATGCAAGAGCCATCCCTAGTCACAAAGTTTGGCAGAGGTGAGCAGGCAAAAATCTAGGTGGTTCTAAAGGGCTAGTCAATAATGTTGAGACTAGGATATGCATTCCAAACTTTCTTTATGAGCAAACACCCTATTTACCAGAAAGGGAGATGAATTTTTTCTCTATATGTGCCTTCAAGAAAATGAGGAATTCATCTTAAATATGCATACAAGTTACACTTATAACTTATAACAAGTTACGCATATAATTTTTAGGGGGACTGACACATTCAGGGTCATCTTCTCTTTGAGTAAATACATAAAGAAAGCCATACCCTTCATTCTTCCCATCTCCTATTCCCCCCATGTTCCTTGTTTACAGACTATTCCATCTTATCCATATCCTCAAGCCTCACCTACAACTGAGAGATGCTTCCTCTTACTGCATGTAATTGTTTTGCCCTTTACTGCACTGATGTGGTGTCAGCTAGTGCTGCCAAGAGTATGGTGTCTGTATCTCTTTACTGTGCATTCCTTCCCTTGCGCTTAATTGCCTCTTTGCTGCAACGCATATCACTCAAGGCCACTGGAGGAGTTGATGTGTCTAGAAGTCGTGGGAAGCTCTCACCTACCCTGCTTTTGCAGCCATTAGTTCTCAGCCAAATGCCCGCACGCGGGAACCCACCTAATTGGGTACTACGTGTGTGGGGGGGTGTATACGAATGCCCTATATCCTATTATGCACATAGGTAACCTGCCATTCCTAACAGTGTTCATGTTACTGCATCTATGGCTTTTCAATAAAAGTAAAACCTTCCTGGAAGCGTGTACTTCGTTGTTTTGCTGTGGATCCTGACATGTGGGAACGGATTGCATCCTATGTGTTTTCCCATGAACGCTCACAGAACATATTAACAAAATGATTATAAGAAAAGCCATAACTAGCAGAGGAATTATAATAGCTACATACAACTCAGCTTCTATGTCTGAGGCTGCTCACTGCTAATATTAGTGCCCAAGACGTGTACCTTGGAAACAAAAGCAGAAGACTGCTTTAAAAACAGCTTTATTCAATGAGCCATAGCCACAATACTGAATAAAGGAAAAATGTAAACTTCATATAGAATGCGAACATCCTTTTAAATTTTGGGATCCAGTTTTGTGGGGGGGGAAACAGATTCAGTACCATGTGATTCCATTCTAAATTTTCTTGTTCTAACTTATGTGGCCATTAGAAAAGGTATTTTAAATGTTCAGGAATATGTAACAGTTGCGCTCTGGGTGCCCCTGTATAAATCGATGGTGCAGCCTCATTTGAAGTACTGTGTACAGTTCTGGTCACCACACCTCAAAACGGATATTATAGCTTTGGGAAAAGTGCAGAAAGGGGCAACTCGGATGATAAAAGGGTTGGAACACTTTCCCTATGAGGAAAGGTTAAGGCGCTCAGGGCTCTTTAGCTTGGAGAAAAGACGACTGAGGGGTGACATGATCGAGGTTTATAAGATTATGCATGGGAAAGAGCAGGTAGAGAAAGAGGTACTCTTCTCCCTTTCTCACAATACAAGAACTCGTGGGCACTCAATTAAATTGCTGAGCAGTCAGGTTAGAACAGATAAAAGGAAGTACTTCTTCACCCAAAGAGTGATTAACACATGGAATTCACTGCCACAGGAGGTGGCGGCGGCTACAAGCATGGATGGCTTCAAGAGGAGCATATGGAGCAGAGGTCCATTAGTGGCTATTAGCCACAAGGTATAGATAGGAACTCTAGGTCCGGGGCAAGTGATGCACTGCATTCTTGGTGCTGGGGGGGGGGCCACAGTGGGAGGGCTTCTAGTGTCCTGGCCCCACTGCTGGACTTCCTGATGGCACCTGGTATTTTCTGGCCACTGTGTGACAGAGTGTTGGACTGGATGGGCCATGGGCCTGATCCAATATTGGCTTCTCTTAAGTTCTTATGCTCAACAGCATGTTGATGTAGTTGCTTCCTAAAGCAACTCCATAGTTTGCTCTCTGCTTAACACCTTTGCTCACTGGAAAAAGGTGGGCTACAAATAAAGTAAAAAAAATAAAATACAGAGAAGTATGCTTCTTTCTAGTACATATTTCAAACCACTGGAGCTCCGAACAGTGATTTACCAGACTCTGTTAAACGGTCGATATCTACACGCTTATCCATTGCAACCATACATCAGGGTGTGTCAGTGACAAACATCGATCAAGCAAAAAACAATTAAAGACAAAAAGCTAGAGGCACTTATATTTGGATACTCGCTCTCTGCTACAAAGTGCTCCCGACAGAGTACAGTGGCCATTCGCCATTTCCCTCATTAATTCAGCACAGTTCATATTTTGAGGCTAACTTGTATATCCATGTTTGATAATTGAGCTTAATACCTTTGGTCATAGAAGCTAATAAACATAAGTAAGTAAAAGCGCGGTCACACGTGACAGATAACGCAGGGGGGAAGCGATGCTATTTGCCCCCCTGCGCGATCAGACACAACGGCGGGTGAATCGGGGGTTTTCCATCGCCACATGTTTCTGGTGCGCTTCAATGAGGGCTCACTGACGCAATGGGAGCGTGCTGGAGCGATCACACGGGAAGGCCGTCTGCGGTCTGTGGCAAACCCATTTGCAACTGCACTTCTCCAGGTATTTTTTAACTCCGACTGGCAGCTGCTAATTCTGCGTGTGATGGGGACCTAAGTAAGTAAGCACAGCAGTTTACGCTCCATGTGCATAGGACAAGTCGCAGGATCCCGGGGACACGGGTCCCCTCACTGCAAGTTGCTGCTCAGGTACTGCAAGAACATGCTGCCCAGCCGGGGCAGACTCTCTTCTCCTTCTCCGGGGTGCATCTTGGCGTAGCTGAGAAACTGTCTCCGGAGCCGGCTCAGCTCGGGCAGGCCGACGGGCCGGCTCAGCAGCAAGCCCGGGGATTCCTGGCCCAGCCCCTCCACGGCCAGCGGGACGACCTGGCCGGGCTGGACGCCGTCCCTCTGCGCGGCCACGAGGGCGGCCGCCACGTCCTGGGTGAGGCGGTCGAGGCGGTGGAGGAAGGCGGCGGGCTGGAGGGGCTGGGCGCGCGTCGACTGGTTGGGGGGCGGCGGGCGGCGCTCGAAGAGGGCGGCGCGGATCTCCGGCAGGGGCAGGGGCTGGGCGGGGTCGTGGGGCGCGGCGAAGAGGGGCCGGTCCCAGCGGTGGCGCGAGTCGGGCGGCTCCAGGGGCGGGCGG